CTGCATTTTAGTTAAGCATCACTAAACACAGCAAAGCAAACTGTACACTGGTGTGTGTGATAGTTTATTCCATCAAATGGGGGCGATAAATGGTTTTCATTTATTTCAGGGTACCTTACCTTCTCCATTTAGCACGGGAGGTGGTGTCAAATTCCTCTTTCAGAACGTGTCTGTGAGCAAATTCGTCGTATGCGTCGGGCTCATCATTATCCATACAAGGAGAAGGATTGTTCGCTGCGTTCCCTCCGACCACCAGGACAAGGACAGCGATCAGGAGAACGAGGTTCATCTTTCTAAAATGACAGAAAGAGTTTACTGACAATTTTTTTGTTTTCATTAAAACCTCAAATGATTTATTTACTCATTCATTAACTCAGTTTTGGATACCATTTGACATGCAGGCTATTCCATGTTAGTTACATGAAAATAACAGAATGATTTGAACTCTGACACCCCTAAATAAAGTCCATTCATGAGTATTTCCATTAGAAAGCATTTCCACCAGAGTGTGGATGTGATCTCAAATCCATTTCTTCTGCAAATACCTGATTTTATAAAATAACTTGCAAAATCAAAAGTAATTTTTTTTCATGTGTTTTTTTTTTTGTATTTTTGTCTAAACCAACACATACATTATTATTTACTATTTTACATTTAAACATTCCATGATTTTTATTTGCTTGTAAAACTAAGTTTTTTCATCCACACTTTTTGGATTGAAGTCAAGAGAAAATGAAAATGAGAAACTTCCTGAATTTTGATTTGAATTCATTTATTTATTTACTTGTCAAGGAACAGTGCACACTAGTCAACGTCATACAACGAAAACATGTCCAAGTTCACTAAAGTAAACTGATTTTCATCAATCCTCCCTTTGTCAGATTTTAAGGCCAGCCTACAATGTAACTAGTTAATTTTACATAGTTTCTGTTTGGTCAACCAATAACCTACTGTGTATTGGGATTGAATATGAATATGTTGTTTGTGATGGAAATGAAAGCTAGTTTTGAAATAAACCTCGGTAGTTTTTAAGTAAAATTAACTGCGCTAACTTTTTGTTAAGACGTTTCATTGTATGTGTAAACTGAATTTAATGGGATGTTCTTTCAAAAAAGTTTTTGTCCTGCTAAAGTCACAATTATACAAATTGTATCAGAAAATGTAATAAATATATTGCTAGTTTTACCAAAAAAAATTTAATTGTATTTTATAACACTAAGTTGTTACTTTTCTAGCTCAGGCACATTGTGATAATATCATCTTAACTTAAAATACAAGGCAGTAAAATAAAATAGCTAAAAAGACATCCTACTGACTGACAAAATTCTTAACATTTGGTTGTTGCTCACCTTCTCTGATCAGTCGGTCTCTGTGAATGAAGACGATCTGCTTCTTCTGAAAGTGGAGTTCTTCTCTAGAAAACTGCAGATATTTCTTCTCTTTTATACTCTTGCTTGGGTGTAACCAACAAAGACCAACAACCAATCAAATCATTTTAAGCTAATTTTTCACTTTCACTTTTGCTTTTCTGTCACAGAGTTACAAAATGGTCCCCTTTCAGTCAAACTCTGTAAATATTTTGGATGTAATCAGGAAAGCGGTGGTTTACCACCTTCCTGTAACTGGGGGCCCAGAGTTGTTTCCAGGAAGAAGTGCAGGGAGCATCATTTGTGTTAAAAAAAAGTTCCTTAAAGAGCTTTTGTGGTATACAAAATATTGATAAAATCTTTCAAGTAGTCCAAAACAATTCGTATTAAAAAATGCATTGCCCCTATAAAAATGACCTTTGTTTTTGTTGTTGTTGTTTGCTGAATTGTAGGCTGAACATGCTGTTCTATGGAGGTATACAGCAAATACAGAATGTGGAAGAACCACAGTGCTGGTTCTGTTGGACCTCAGTGCAGCTTTTGAAACTGTTGACCACGACATCTTAATGAAACGATTGGAGAGTTGGGTCGGACTCTCCGGTCCAGAACTCAACTGGTTTGAATCTTACATAAAGAACACAGATTTTTTGTTTCCATAGATAGCTTCTCATCGAACCAGACAGAAGTCACATGTGGGGTACCTCAAGGCTCAATCCTAAGACCCCTCTCATTCAATATCTATGTGCTCCTACTAGCTCAGGTTATAACAAGAAATAAAATTAGCTACCATCACTATGGAGATGATACACAGCTCTACTTCAAGATTTCACCATGTTATTCAGAACCATCCAAGCATTGAATGAAATCTGGGAGTAGTGATGACCTCTGACCTGAACACATAGAGACAGGTACAAAGTTGGCCTTTTATCACCTGAAGAACATTTCCAGGATTAAAGGACTAATGTCTGAGAGAGATCTAGAGAGATTCATCCATCTTTAGTTGCATCGATTACTGCAACACACTGCAGCACAAAAAGTGGCAGATTTGACACCTGTTTACTGACGTGAGCGCCGCTATCAGCTATCAACAGCTAGCAGGGCAGCACATTTTGGTTCACTGAAGTTCGGGGGAGTGGGCTGGTATGAGGTGTTAAGGACTCCACTTAACATGTGACTAGCCTCACATTATGCAACGAGCTTCAGCAGACCAACATGGATTCTCAGTCATGCGTTAAAAAAACATCATAATTCATCAATGTCATGTGATTGGTCGGCTGATGTGTCCCCATTGGACAGCGCATTGGTTTTTATAAATAAACTCCACTCCAATCATTTTTATATTTATATTTTTATATACACATTTTATATAATTAGTTTTTATTTTATATATACAGTTTTAATTCATTGTTGTATTAAAACACATTCATATGATATTGCTTATATGTAGCATATTTATGTATGAGGGACAGAATTTGTTTTTATTTTAATTTTTTTTTTTTTTTTTAGCTGTTTACACAGAATATTAAGACATAAAGTGCTCGTCCACTTCTGGCTGTGTTTATTTGTACAAACATGATCTAACATGGCGCTGCGTTCAGGACAGGCCTGACTGGTCACTGAGCTGCTGGTTGGGGGAAACTTGTGGTTTCCACCTCAGCCCATCCTGACTCCCCCTCATAGGTGCCTCTCTCTGCTGCCAGTTCACACAACCTCCCTTTCATCAGCTGTTGACACAGAACAGATGTCAGGCGTCTTTGAGTCATAACGAAACCTCAGCAGAATTTTCCCTAGAATGCACACAAGACATTAAAAACTGAAAAACATCCTTTGAACGCATCCTTACAGAAAATAAAACACATGTGGAAAAAATATATAAAAGTGCTTTTAGAACATATTTTTAAAAATCCTCAGAAGAAAAATATGTACACAGAGTGTAACATATCAGGAGTAGGTTGTGCCAAAGCAGGTTAAGAAATATGCAGATAACATGCCATTTTTTTAATTATAATTATTATTTAAAATGTATTGCATGACATACATGGAAAAAGTGATGAGACTGCCTTATTATTTTGTCATCCAAATCAATGATTATGTGATCAAGTAGCAACTCCTTTTAAGAGCCATTTTGGTTGTTGACATTATTTCAGTCCAAACAAATATACCTTTATTTTCATTGGGTATTAACATGAACAGTAAAGAGAAGTCACAGACAGCAGGGCTGAGTTCAATTCATGGCAGTGGCAGCTAGACGTGTCAGCTGCCACAAGCTGCCACGGCTGCTGCTGCTGTTTTGGGGAGTGTCTCTGGCAGCTGCCACGGTTTTCATAAAAACATATTAGTTATATTGCCTGATAGCAAATAACTATATTTGAAATAACAATGTTATTGGTTATTAAATCATATGGGACTTGTAATATTTTGACTGAATTTACTTGATGGAAAGTGGCATTTCCAGTGAGTAGTGGCAGCCGTCACCAAGTCTGTGGCAGTTGCCAGCAAATCAGTGGTGGCTGTGTGTGTGTATGTAAATGTGTATTGTTGTTTAATTGATCTGATCAAAATAAACATTCATATTGAATCTGCCACAGCTGACAGTCAAAATATTGCAGTTCTTCTACGGTTTAATAACCTATGACATCATCATTTCAAAAATGATAATTACAAACAAACAAAATAACTAATAAGTTTCCTAAAAACTGACATCCGAATTCCCCAAAACAGCGGCAGCAGCCATGACACCTATGGCACCTCAGCGGCAGCTGCCACTGCCATTAATTTAGCTTCCTGAATTTGGACCAATGACTTATTCATGTAATATGTCACCCATATATTAAACCGCTACAGCTCCCAGGTTTTGCAGCAGTTCTTTTGTGAGGACAATTCCCTCTTCCACAAAGTTTATCCTTGACTCGGTTAATAAGAATACATTTGTGAGCCAGATACAATAGCTTACCCTGTAAATAAGTTGGTCATTCCTTTATGTTGCATCCACTGACCTTTTGGAGTCCTCTTCCTGCGTCCCTTTGTTCTCCCCTGGGTGTTTGTCAGTGACATTGTTGACTCTGAACTGAGCGCTCTGTGTGGTTGTAAATTTTCTTTTGGCTCATTTTTGGCATTTGAACTTTTGTATGGTGCAAAGCTTGGATGGGGAGTTAGGTAGGGGATCTGTGTCATTTTCCTTTGTCTAATTTCTTCAGCCAGAGAGTTTAGTAATTGTACTTTTTGAGTTTTGTTTCAGACTGGAGTGGGATTTTTTTTTTAGCTATAAAGGGGTGTGTTTGTGTTTGTTTTAGGTTTGGAGACCCTGAAGTCTTTTTACCACCCTTTGTGTTTCCAAGGCCCTGAAGTGGATAAAAATGGAAAAATAAATAATTGACTAAAGTTGAGTTTCCTTTGATTATTGACCTCCACTGTTTTTTGTAAATTGTGTTACATCTTGTGCCACTGTAGAGTGACAGGACTGTAATGGTTGTTATAGGTTAAATGCAAAGATGGCTGCAGCTCAATGGGGCCCACCGGGGGGAATATGAATACCATTAGAGCCATAAATCTAAATTATTAACAATTTCTGGATTTATTCACAGAAACAGAATATTTACAAGTATTTCTATCTATTTATGACCCTCAACCAACAACTTTGCCCCCTTATTCTAACGTCAAAAATCAGCCAAAACCATCCTGCATTGACGTTTTCAACTAGTAGAACACAAACTGTCCCATCCACAGATAGAGCACATAACACCAGTTTTAAAGTCCCTACACTGGCTCCCTGTAGCTCAAAGAATAGACTTTAAAATACTGTTGTTAGTTTATAAATCACTGAACGGTTTAGCACCGCAATACATTAAAGATCTGTTACTGCTGTACCAACCGTCTAGACCAGTGGTTCTTAACCTGGGTTCGATGAACCCCAGGGGTTCGATGAGTCGGTCTCAGGGGTTCGGCGGAGCCTCTGCCGCGGAGGTAAAGACTGTGTAAAGTCGTGATGACGCCCCGCTTTGCCGTCACTTGCTGCAGAGGATCACGTTACATTGCTTAGCCAATCAGTGCTGCGGAGGAGCACTGATTGAAGGAGTTCCACTCTCAGCATGGATTTGATCTTGTGTTTTTAATTCCTTCAGCAAAGCTCACCGTTTTTACCAAATGGGGTATATGCCACGAGAAGTGGTGACGTATTTCCGTTTGAATTTATTCCACATAGGTTGGTTCCGGGTCCTGCTTGCTCCTATTGTTCTTGGCCGAAGCTGCAAGATCTGTACCATGAAAAAGACGCAAAACTTAAAATGTCTGTGAGCTGCTGGTGCAACGACTGAGTTTTGTGGTGTGCCGTTGTTTCCAGTAATTAGTCGGTACCATCCAGTGCTTAGTTTTTTCATTTTCCAGCTGATATCAAGGCAACAGCGGACTGTAACCAAAACTTAGCCACTACAGCTAACACACGGTTTGTAGCTGCCTGGTATTTCAAAGCTTGAGGATATTGAAGATCCAGCGTCAGAAATGGGAAGATGGGGGATATAAAGGGAGTTGTACGTGGTTCGTTTAGTGGAATAATTTGTTGGAGGAAAATAATGCCGGAGGAAATCCACTGCAACGGGAACAGGCTGAGAACAGAGGCAGCGATTCGGCACAATGTGTGTGTGTATGTTGATGTGCGTTTATGTTATATGGAGTATGAAATTATTTTTAGGCAACTCCTTAGTTTTTTGTTTATGTGACAATTATATAAAATACATTTAACATGCAGTCGGAGCGATACTGAGCACGGTAATTTAAAAACAGCCGAGAGCAGCAATGCTCCAAACCACACAAGAAGTCAGTCAGATTAAGGTCCAAAACCTTCGCTTTACAGCCGTTTAAGTGGCACCGACCCACATAAAAAACCCACAGAACAAATGGTGCAAATCACGTATTTCCCGAATCCCGAATATATGATTATCTACCTTTGCTGTTTCATAATTATTATCCACGTTAGAGTGAATTTTTCCACTTGACTGCTATAATCTGTTCTTGCGTTACACAACGTATTTTCTCTTTTTTTCCCTCTGAGATTCTGCTTAGAAAATGAGGTTATGAAGTTACATCCTCCTGCTGCTTTTTGTTTTTAAAATGGTTAACGGTTACTGTGGGCAAATCCAGCAAGGACCAAGTGAAAAACTCCATCTCTAACACAGAGTGACCTGTGCACCGGAAGCAGGCTATGTGGAAAAAAAATGCGGAAGTGCTAAAACGGAAGTCCGTGGTGTACTTCTAAATCTGCTCCTTAGTCCCAACTTTTCGGGGTTGGTACTGCCTCTAGTGGCATGGGGGTGGTAACACAGCTAATATAATTACATTACTAAATTAGAATACCGTGTCGGCGGGGGAGGGGGAGGAGGAGAATCAGAAGGGTTCGGTGAATGTGCGTATGAAACTGGGGGGTTCGGTACCTCAAAAAAGGTTAAGAACCACTGGTATAGCACATTTCAGCAGCAAGGCATTTCAAAGTGCTTTACATAATTAAAATAAAAACAGCATGTGACACTGAATAGACAATGAGAAAGAGAGAGATTTTAAGAAAAAGAAACAGTGAGAAAGAGAAATAAAAATAATTAAAATAAAGATAAAGAGATTTAATAAAAAATTTAATAAAATAAGAAATAAAAACATTATCCACATGAGGACTTGCCCTTATGGTGTCTCCTCCAAAATAAGAGGCTCTACAAGCCTTTCCTTCTGTAGGACTTTAGTCAAGTCACCATTTGACAAGGTCTTATTTATTCCAAATTTGTGGTGCATAGAAACTGAATGCTGCTTCTCCTCGTTTTGTTCTGGTTCTGGGGATGCAGAGCAGGCCAGAACCAGAAGATCTGAGGGGTCTAGACCAGTGGTTCTTAACCTTTTTTAAGGTCGATAAGAACCACTGTGCTATACAAATAAAATTTTATTAATTGATTGATCCACAGGGATCAGACCAAGGAAACCATATGACTATATTTGCTGATTCTCCCTTTATCCTCTACATATCCCGAAATATTGTAAATATTGCCATAATGTTTATGCTCCAAATTTTAGCTTCATTGTTTTGATCACTTTTGACTTTTCTGTCAGAAAAAACAAAATCGTGACTTGAAAAGAGAACAAGGACACAGAAGGACAATGGAGCTTATGGAAGAAAATAAATGTGAACGACAAGCAAACTTACAATGAATAAATGATTATGAAATTTTATTGAACCTAAGCAAAGACCAAAGCAACATGCTAGAAATATATTTTCCAAAATGATCAGTTAAACACAAAAAGTCGTTCACAGCACTTAGAAAATGTTTTGTTTTTTGGCTGCAAAATATAAAACTTTATTGTTATGATTGTTACTTCATATATATTTATCAGGGATGCAAAAGTATATAAGGTATTTCCCATGTTTAGGATCTATGTGATTCAGAGATGTAGATAAATTTAAGTTACAGTTATGTTGTCCCATGTAAAAGCTGGTTGTCGTGGTAACTTGATGCTCTGGACATTTGGACTAATAATTCAATTTAATAGCAACTCTAATTAGGTAGGAAAGAACAACTTCTCAATTCAAAATTACAACCAAAACACCCAGATTTTTAAAAAAAGACATTAGTTTTTGAGATCTAACGCCTCAAAATCAAACCACCAACAAAGGTTTTCAACAATGATATTTTAAAAACTGTAAATTGTACTTTGTCTTTCACCGATCATGTGGTATCTCTGATGTGTTTATAAAATAAACTCACCTAAACTTAAAGCAAAGCAGATAAAAGCTGAACTAAAGCTGGATATGGAGAGATATAGCAAAGCAAAACAGCGTATTTGCCAAACCTGGAAGACAATTCAGATATCAAACCAGAGATTAGTTTATGGCTTGCAGATCTGATTTGTATAGAGTGGCCCATTGACTTGGCTGCTTTCAAAGTGAACAGGAAGGCAGCGGTTGTCGACTTTGTCACAAGCGACAGTCACATATCTATCTCTGCTATAAAGATCAGTAACGCTGCAATCATTTGTATTGACGATGAGGTCATGCAGCCAAAGTGGGCTTGTACTGGTGCACAAGTTGATCCTTTGATTTCTGCCAGAGCCGTTGCAGATCTCCTCATAACGATTTTCAGCTCCTTTATCAACGAAGGACTGCCGAGGTCTGTCACAGAGTTTGTATTTTTTCAGGTAACTGAAAAAAACAAAATGTCAAAACCTGTTATTTTATGACTTTGGAAAAAAATCAGCAAGTTAACAAAGCAAATAATTTTTATAGAAATATTCTAACTCGTGTGACTGAATTTATTTGCAATTGTTATTTGATTTACAATCCAATAAAAATCTACATACAGTTGCTGGTGACTAGGTGCTTTTTATATAGGCATATATGTAGTAATATAATATCTTTATGTGTGGAATCAACAGGTATTATTATTATTCTACATATGCCATTAAGACTGTGCGGTGATTTGAGGAGAAAGTAACAAGTAATATTTAATATCACGTTTTATGGTGCTGCATCTATTAGCAATATGACTTTTCTTTATATCTTATGGAACTGCATATTTTAGCTTTTGTTAGAAGAGGGAACTTTGTCAGTGAAATTAGGATCTAACATGACAATCAGAACAAAAAAAACACAATCCTTTATTTCCATACATGAACAAGCAGCTCTCAATAGAAGTTGATGTATATTCTGTAGTGGTTTTTTTTTTTTTTTGTTATTTTGCTTTATTTTTCAAATGTTCTTGTATTTATTTACCTATATCACCAATTTTATACTTTTTGTATGTTTGTATTGAGTGTTGGGCATTTCATGAAGCACAAGGGAATTAACCTGCTAGCTTGGATAATTGGGTTTTATGTTTTGTAATTTCCTTGCTGGTAAAGCAGCCCAGTATTTTAGTTAAGCATCACTTAACTAAAATAAGTCTATTGCTAAATAGACCAAAGCAAGTCGTACACTGGTGGTGTGTCCAGTAACTGAATCCCATCAAATTGGGATGATAAATGGGTTTTATTTTTTACAGAGTAACTTACTTTGTCCATTGAGCTTTTGAGGAAGTGTCAAATTGCTCCTTCAGAACGTGGTTGCGAACAAAATTGCTGTAGGCGTTGTTATTAGGATTCTCCATACAAGGAGAAGAATTGTAGGCTGAGTCTGAGTTCCCTCCAAACATCAGGACAAGGACAGCGATCAGAAAAACAGCGTTCATTTTTCTAAAATGACAAAAAAAAAAAAAAAATATATATATATATATATATATATATATATATATATATATATAAAAAATACTTGTCAGGAAATTGACATAAAAATCTGAAATGAGTTTACTCTGGGTTTGCCCTTTTAGGGCCACAGCCCACATGGGCCCTAAAAGGGCAAACCCATGTGGGGCCATTGTGGAACCCATATGGGACCCATATGGTCTGCCCTCCTTTTCCTCACATGGGGCCCACCTAGGCATGCCAGTTTCTTTTTAAACATTGCAGTGTGTTTGAACCAATTGAACTGTTTCATATATGATATGAGACAGACTAAAAGATTCAATATGAAGTTACAGAAAAATGAAAGAATGGTTTTAAGTGTGGTAAACATTGCATTTGAACTCTGACACCCCTAAATAAACTCAATAAGTATTGCCTTTAGAAGGCCGGTCCACCAGAGTGCAATGAGATCTTAAGTCCATTTGTTCTCCATAGATGTCTGTTAGAGAACAGCAGTGAACAAACAGCTTCATGAAGACCATAAATAAAGTGAGCTGGCTAACTTACGAAATTACATCCAAATCAAAGATTAAACCTTTTTTTATCCGTGCTTTTTAATGTCCTTCTGCTAATATTCCATCTCAATGTTAATTAATAAATTAAAATTATTATGTTTACTTGTAAGAGGAGAGAAATAGAACAATGCATTCCATGCATTTGTTAGTTTGTAAAATTTGATTTATTTGATTTATTTATTTTTTTGTTTGGCTTCACAGTTGTCTTTCACAAGATGGTGGATTGAAGCCAAAACAAATTCTATATTTCCTGAATCTTGAATGAAATATATTTATTTATCCAAAGAGTCAAGTCAGTTAAATCCAGCCTAAAAATTAACTTGCTAATTTTCTTATTAATTTTTAGTTGTTGATTAGTTACTGTGTTTTGGGATTGAATATAAATATGTTGTTTGTGATAGAAATAAAAACTGGCTTGAAACAAACCTCAATATATTTTTATGTAAACTTAACCGCACTAACTTTTTTTGTTAATACATTTTATTATATATGTAAAGTGAATTTAATTGTCCTGTTTTGGGACTTTTACAGAAGCTTTTGTTCCTGTAAAGTGATAAATTTAGAGGTTCTGTCAGATTAAATCATATTTGCCTTTTTAGGCCCAGATACATGACGATATTATGTTCTTTATTTTAAAAAACAAAGCAGCAAAACAAAGGAAAGGTGATCAGCTAAAAGAAATTCCCTAAAAACACATTCTACTGATTGACCAAATTCTTAACATTTGCTTGTTGTGAAGAGTTGTGTCTCACCTCAGATCAGTCGGTCTCTGTGTGTGAATGAAGACGATCTGCTTCTCCTGAAAGTGGAGTTCTTTAGAAAACTGCAAATATTTCTTCTCTTTTATACGTTTACTTGAGTGCAAGTAACAAACAACAGCCAATCAAACCATTTTATTCTAATTTACTCTGTAATGTCTGTCATGGTGACACAAGTTACGAAGTACTTCTGTTTAGTGGAAACCCTGGAGATAATATCACTTGTAGTCGAGCCGCAGCGTGTGTGTAACTGCTGTTGGGAAACAGTGTGGGCAGCATCGGTTGTGTAAGAAAACACAAGTTCCTTCACTGGCTGTTGTGGCATACAAAATTTTGATCAAATCTTTTAATTAATTGAAACCAAATAAAAAAACCATTCCCCTTTAAAAATTTTCCTTTTGTGTTTTTTTTTTTTTTTTTTGCTGAATTGCAACATGGACATATGGATGGATTCTGCATACACAACCAATCTATGCAGGTTTTAGAGAATACAGGTTCGAACAATAAACAATAAAATAATTTTACTCTAATGGAAATAATGACAAAAATACAGATTCAGAAGGATAAATATAAAAGTTCCCTGTTTGTATCCAGATTAAAAGCATCGAACCAGCACTGCATACTGTCACTTAAAATACATTAGAACGTGGTTCCAGTGAGTCAAATTTTGTCACATTAGAAGTATCATTTGAAAATATTAACTTTTAAATAAGTAATAAACTTTGAGCCCACATTTCTAATTAAATTTATACTGTTTTTTTTAATCTAACTGATGTTATATTCTAAACTTAAATGTCAAGTTTGCATTAACTGTAAGCAGAAAATCATCAAAATTAACATACGGTCAACATAATGTAACTTTTCATAACTTTATGAATATAATTAACTGAAATAAATGGGCTTCTCAATGATGTCTTAAAAGTCCAATTTCCTTCAGCATCCTGTTGGGCAACAGTAGCAGTGAAGTGGGCATTGTCGACCTTGGAATCGACCTCAAGTCATTTTGCTGACCTGCATTTTTATTTTAGCTCAACCTTTATATGGGATAAATTTCTAACACAAACCCTTATCAATGTATCAGAACTCTGTACCAGCCATTGTTAAATTTACAACTAGCATATAATTATCTTTGATGTCAATTCCAATTTCTTCTCAGCATAAATAAAAATCTTCAAAATGCTATCATTTTTTAGTCTGTTAAACTGATGTCTCAGTATTTTTATATTTGATGTCTGCATATTGCAAACAAAGAAAAAAGTGTAAAGACATTTGTAAGACAATTGCCACTTCTTTCTAACTGGCCATTTGTGTTTCAAGAAATGTTTCGTGAACACGCAACGTAACAATAGCAAGTCACAATATATAAGCTATAGAGTCACTTTTCTAAAAGTGTTTGCTGAAAGTGCCCCCCACCCCCCCAAAAAAAACAAAAAAACATCTGACACTTTTATGAAAGTATACAGTTAACATCCATACACATACAAAGAATGACTTTTGAATTGTTTTTGTGACCAAGGTGGTCAAAGGGTTTAAGAAAGCTTTGACCCAGACCCTTACATGGACAAGTTGATAAATACTAATTGTCATGTTGCAATGATTACTTGTTACTGCAACATGATGACAAGTAATGACTGCGGTGTGTTGAACCACCAACTGTTATCTGTTCAGTAGCGCCTGCAGCTGTATGGCAGTTCGCACTGTGCATACCTTAACATTTTCCCTTGAATAACATTTTTTTTATTATAGTTATTTGAGATTTTATTATTTTCACCTTTACTATTGACAAAATTGTGGGAAATAAATAAAAATGATTCTTTGTGTCAAAACATCCTGTATGTAACTCATCTGTGTGAGTTTTGTCCGGCTAGCAGCTTGACATTCTTTCTGTAAGCTAAATGTGGCTAATCTGTGAAGCTAGCTAAATACAAAAAGGGTTGAGTGGACCCAGTAGGAGCTTGTTACCCAGTGCTGCGTGGTCCCAGTCGCACTGACCCCACATGCGCTTTTACCAGTTTTCTTTTTTTTCCCCATGGTTTTTGTGAACTAAAGAGCCGACAGGAAATGTCCATCATTTCTCCATTGAACAACCTTGACTTCTGCCATGCTCTTCCTGAGCGTCGTCGCACTAAGACTGCCGGAGGCTAAGGTAATGGAATCATTACAGCAGGCTAGCATAGCTTTCCCAACTAATGTAAAGTAATTGACAGCATGTTGTACTGAAAGCAAACAGCTGAAAACTGAGACAAAATTAAACAGGCCTTCATGTTTCCAATTTGTGAAATATTCAGAATGGGAAACCAAGCAACAAATCCTCCAGTTAAAGGCTTTTTAACATGGTCCATATTACATCACAACATTATTGCTATTAGTGAATATAATATTACTGTCCCATTCTGTTTTAGAAGAATTTAAATATTAACAACTGTTATATCCATCCATTCATTTTCTATACACCCTTGTCCCTTAGTGAGGTTGGGAAGGGTGCTGGTACCTATCTCCAGCGAACATTTCGGGTGAGAGACGGGGTACACCCTGAACCAACTGTTATATTTTGTGCTAAAACGCAAATATGTTGTCCAAAGCAGCTAAACAAAAACAACAATGTTCATGCCGCCCTAGACGAGAAACCGCTCTGGGTCGCCGCCCACGTTGCCTATATATGCCATGTGGGTGGTGCATCTATGCATCGCCCACATAACCAAATAACAAACCGCGATATGGTTTGTTATATGGGCAGAATTGGAGAATTGCTCCCTGGGTTGCAGCTATTTTTTGTGAAGACAAACTCTTCCACAAAGTAACAGCAGGAAGTTTATCTTTGGCTCAGTTAAAAAGAGTACATTAGTTTATCATAAACTTTACCCTGTAAATAAGTTGGTTATTCTTGAGCAATCAGTTTTTATAAGCAGGTAGTTAACCAGTTTCAGAAAAGTTTTTATTTTTATTTTTTATTTGTGATGAAGCAAAAAAAAAAAAAAAAAAGAAAAAGATTATTTCTAATGACAGGAAGGAATCAATATTTTTCATAACCAATGATTTTATTGTTTTGATTGCTCTCCCAACTTTGACTTTCTGTCAAGAAAACCAAAACCACGAGCTGAAAAGAGAACAAAGACGCTGAATAACAATGGAGTTTATGAAAAGAAATAAATGTGAATGACAACAGAACTTAGGATGAATGAATGATTATGAACTTTTATTGGAGCAAAGCAAAGAACAAAGCAACATGCTGCACAGCTTTGGCAAAACAATCATTTAAACACAAAAAGTCGTTCACAGCACTTTGAAAATGTTTAGTTTTTTCGCTGTGAAATGTAAAACTGTCATGATTATAAGATGCACTTCATATATTTTTGTCAGGGATGCAAAAGTACATAAAATATTGCCCATGCTTCGTTTATCTGTGATTTAGAAATGTAGATTAGCCTAGTGACATTTCTATTGTCCCATGTAAATATCTTATTTTAATTTCAACATCAATTAAAAAAACAACTTTTCTCTATTCAACATTAGGACTAAAAAACTCAAGAGGTTTTGCAAAGCATTATTGTTTTTAGTACTCAAGGCTCATTACAATATCTGACTCTTTGTATTACATCACCAAAAATTTTCAATGCTGATATTTTAAAAGTTGTACGGTACATCTTCCATTGATCACGCGATATCTCTGATGTGCTTACAAAGGCTTAACTAAAACCAGCAAAAAGCTCAACCAAAGCTTGATATGGAGGGATATAGCAAAGCAAAACAACATTTTTTCTAACCTTGGAAGAAATTTTCAGATCTCAAACCAGAGATTAGTTCTTGGCTGACAAGTTTCATTTGTATAATCTGGCTCATTGTCTTGGATCCTTTCAAAGTGAACAGGAAGGCAGCGGTTGTCGACTTTGTCACAAGTGACGGTAACATATTTCATATGTTCTACCCTAGCTCTAACTTTGCAACGCCCAGTGACTTCGACATTATACAGTCTAACTCTGTTGGTGCTGGTGCACCAGTTGCTACTTCCTTGATGCTTCCCAAAGCCATTGCAGATCTTCACATAAAGATTTTAATCTCTTTGCTTAACGAAGGACTGTAAGGGTCTTCCACAGAGATTGTGTCATCTCAGGTAACTGCAAAAACAAAGCAAACAACAACAAAAACAACTGGTACTGAGATGCACTGTAAACAGAAATTAGTTGAACCAACTTAATACCCTAACTTACCCTAATTTAATTATTATGGAATTCTCTAAACAAAAACCCATTGGCCAATTTCGATGATTGACATGTCTTTCGAACCGTCAGAGCCAATAGAATCCGAGGGTGTTGACATTAATACGGAACCTAAAGCCATTCACCAATTACAGCTAGGAATACGAATGTGGCGTAGATTGACGGTGTTCGCCTCTAGATTTTGTTTATGGTAGCTAGGAGACGGAAGAGGCTCTGGGCAGAGCCGAAAACAATGTGAGATGGACGCAGGGAATATGGATTATCGAACCAGGAAATATTTACTATAATAAGGATTATGACCACGAAACAGCAAAGGTAGGACTGGATTTATGCTTTTAGCTTCGTGAAATTGACTATTTATTTTTTTCTTCTTTAGCTGCTGGTTCAGTGAGTTTTGCACGTAGCGTGGTGACTCTGGTATTTTTGGAAACGGCAGAGCTTCGGCTTTACTCTGATTGATAGTTTGTGAGGATCGGGCCACCAAGCTCTTTCACTGTTAAGTTTTTTTTTTGTTTGTTTTTTTACCGGGTATGCCTCGTTAGCATCTAATTACGTTTCTTTTTATCAAGCTGCTTCGTGTTCAACCTGGGTGTTGTTGAGGTAGAAAATATTGTTTCTATCATTTAGAAGAGCTTTTTCCCGATCTGTGGATATGCAATATCCAATATTGATAAATGTATAGCATGTGTTTTCAACCGATCTTGTTGCGGCAAATTTGGGTCCTCTCGTGACAGACAGACAAATTGCAGTTACAGCAATACATGTGAATGTAACTTACTACTTTCCACCCTATGTGGCAGAATCAAAATATTTTTCCACATTGTGAAGTGCTTCTACTTTCTGTGTTATCCTT